TCAAGAGTCGCGAGAAGTACTATTGGCCTCGCTCCGTAGCACACGCGCCCCGTCCGCCGAAAGGCGTCGGTCACTTGTCGAATCGCCCCTATAGTTGAGCAGCCCCGTCTGAATCCGTACTGGTTTCCTGCAAGTCCTCCGTTTGCAATTACCGCGTTCGTCAGTCTTGGTTTCAATAACGCTTCGTAAAGTTTACCCGCTGTGTCTAGAAGACTCAGGGGCCTATAGGAAGACGGACTATTCGGCTCTCCTTTTCCTTTATGCAGGAGAACCAGTCTAGCAGTCTTCCATCGTCTGGGAAAGATGCCCGCACGTAAGACCGCGTTATACTTATCCAGGAGGAGTCCTGGACGTACGCCCACGATCTGCTGGAGGATCTCTCCCGGGATACCGTCTGGTCCGGGTGCCTTACCAGGCTTGATCGTGGACACAGCCTTAGTGAGCTCTGCCTCGACAAACTCTGGCACTGTCGTCTCTTGTTCGTTCGTCATTTTTTCCGTCTCTGGTTGGTTTGGGAAAAGTCCATCTGCTATTGCTTTCATGGTGTCTTTGTCTTTTGGTTCAGAAGGGCCAAGGGCCCCCAGTTTCTTGGTCACAATCTTGTAGCCAAGTCCCCAAGGGTCCCGCTCCACTTCATTATTATTATTATTATTATTATTATTATTATTATTATTATTATTATTACTATTAACCTCACCCTTGCCTCGGTGGGATAGGAGGGAAGGTTGACCGGACCCCACACATAATACCTTACCTGAACGTAGAATTCCCAGCTCTATCTGAATCCATGATAATCCATGGGGCTTCTTATTAAAAAAATTACTTGGTTATTTGGTTATTGGGGTTATTGGGGTTGATTTATTGGGTTCTTAGGTTATGTGAATTTCTGGTTTATTAAAATTAATCCCACCTTAACCCGATCATCCCTGTGTATGGATGAAGAAAATAATAAATTTGACCCCTACATGACCGTACACGGAAGGGTGGGTTAACTGCACCCCACACATAATACCTTATCTGTACATACAATTTCTCGCTCTTTCCGAATCCGGGATAAAAATTATAGGTTTCTATTAAAAAAAATGACTTTGACCTCCAAATAATCTTGGAAATAAATCTCATGGTGAAATCTGATATCTGGGAAAGGCGTTCCTCATTGTTCCAAATAACTTTTGTCTGAACAATTTTTTTGTGAGTGCTAACCGTAGAAAATTTCGGGATGGTTCCTTTAGAATGGGTCACCCTGTATACTATAATCTACAAATATGCCGTCGTTGAACTAATTTAAACTAATTGTAAATACATCTGTCTCGTACAACAATTAGAACTTTAGTAAATATTTAATTATCCCATTAAGGCCCAGGCCAAAACTGGAAGAGATAGCGTCAAACTAACTATGCGATTCATAGGCAAATAAAAAAAAATACCCGTGTTTTTTCTTTTACCATTTGCAATTGTTTATAAAAAGTTATTTAAACAAATTACCAAAAAATAATTTTTTTTGAAATCTGATTGCGGAAATCGATTATACGGGAAAATACATGAAAAAAATATATGTAACATTTTTTTACCGGACTTCAATTTTTAGTGTAAAACAGCAATAAATAATTGCGGCTCCGACAGTCAAAGTTTCTTCGCCAAATCCCAAGCAAAATCTACGCTAGATAGCGAAAAACTAACTATGCCATTCATAGGCAAATCGAAAAAAAAATACCCGTGTTTTTTCTTTTACCATTTGCAATTGTTTATAAAAAGTTATTTGAACAAATTACCAAAAAAATTATTGTTTTACAAATCTGATTGCCGAAATCGATTCTACGGGAAAAAAACATGACAAAATTGTATGTACGTGTAACATTTTTTTGTCGGACTTCAATTTGTCATGAAAAACAGCTATCAAGCATTGAATTGATACCGACAGTCACAAGTGATTCAACCTGATGGTTGAGTTCAGTTCAGTTGAAAAAAAATTTTTTTGATTGTAAAAATTTGTAAACCGTGTTAGAGATCACGTTTGAGTGGCGGGCTAACGGTTTTACAGAAAATCTAGAGGTATTGTTTTCTGATACGAAAATTTGATTTCTATCTAACTTACAGCGAAAATCTATAATTTCTTGTAAATTGCTGTTTATTTTTGAACCAAGCAAAAATGACAAGGCGGATGGTTAAAGATTTAACCGATTTTGTCGAGGATGATGATTTTGATGATTTCCGAGCTCATGTCGATATATCGTTCATTCCCGGAGATCACGAAAGTTCAGATGGGGATTCTGATTGCAATGTTGACGAAAATATGTCATTTGAATTGATTCCTGTTGGTTCGTATGAACATATAAAAAGCGCATACAGCAGCACTCAAAAACTATTAGAACCCAATCATGTTTATGATTGGCAAGTATTAGATTTGAATGATACCTTAACTGTGAATAACGATGATCCCTTCAACGTTCAATCCATTTCCTCTTTGTATTCTAAAAACTCTTTGGAATTATTTGAAGTATATTTCTCAAATTCAATGAAAAATTATATCATAGAAACTACAACTGAAAACAATTTTGAATTAAGTATGAATGATCTAGAAAAATTTATTGTTATCATAATGATTACTATTTTCAATTCAAGAAAGAATCTCCGTGACTATTGGTCAACTAAAAAAATCTTATAATGTCCAGTTTTTTCTGAACTTATGACAAGAAATAAAGTTATTGAAATCAAGAAGAAAATAAGATTTTATAAACTTCAAGATGAAAATAAAAATGATAAAATTTGGAAAATTAGAAGTTTATATGATTATTTTCGTGAAAATAGTATGCAGTTCGGTATTTTTGATTACAACTTATCAATAGATGAGATAATGGTAAAATATTTCGGGAAGTTTGGCATAAAACAGTGTATTAGAAATAAGCCAATCAGATTTGGAATAAAATTATGGGCCCTTTGTTCCTCAGATAGATATTATATGAACTATCTATCTGATATATAGATATTTATATGAACTGGATATTTATACAGGTAAAGCAGGACTCGATGAACGGAACCCTCTAGTTGCTGTTTGTTTGGGATCGGAAGTCGTTATCAAGTTGCTATCGCCTTTACTGCAAGTAACTAATAAAGAAGATCTTACTAAGTATCATGTGTGTTTTGATAATTTTTTCACCAATCCAGATCTTATGGTACATTTGGAAAAAATTGAATTATCAGCAACTGGGACGGTCAGACAAAACCGCGTCAAAGAAAAAGTTAAAATGCCAAAAAAGCTGAGAGGGGAACAACTATCGCTCTTCACGATCAAAATTCCAAACTGAATTATATAACTGTGATGGATTCCAAACCTGTATCAGTGTTATCAACAAAATTTGGAGATGAACCGAAAATTGAAGTGCAGCGATGGCATGAAAAAGCTAAGAGGTCCATTATTTTCCCTCAAGCGTTTTCTTCCTATAACTAAAACATGGGTGGGGTTGATTTGCATGATCAAAATTGCAATGCTTTGATGCCTTTAATTAGGAGTAAAAAATGGACATGGTGTCTATTCTAACGACTTATTCAGGCTTCATTGACTAATGCTACTGTGATTTATAATAAGCTGCACCCAGACTTGCCTAAAGGTTCAAAAGATATTGTGCAAGAAGTTTGTGAATTTTATCTTGAGAAATTTGCGAATCAACGTCCTAACAAGCGAAAGAGATCAAGTGACACATCATTGCATAAACACGTAATCCATCAAGGTATGCACAAAACATGTGGGGTATTATCGTGTGAGATGAAAACTAAATTTTATTACCAAAAATGTGCTATACTCTTGTGCAAAAGACATCGAGAAGATCACAAAAATAAAACTGAATAAAAATTCAATCGAATTACATGATCAATGTTTGATAGCTGTTTTTTCATGACAAATTGAAGTCCGACAAAAAAATGTTACATATATTTTTTTCATGTATTTTTCCGTATAATCGATTCCCGCAATCAGATTTCAAAAAAAATTACTTTTTTGGTAATTTGTTTAAATAACTTTTTATAAACAATTGCAAATGGCAAAAGAAAAACACGGGTATTTTTTTTTCGATTTGCCTATGAATGGCATAGTTAGTTTTTCGCTATCTAGCGTAGATTTTGCTTGGGATTTGGCGAAGAAACTTTGACTGTCGGAGCCGCAATTATTTATTGCCGTTTTACATTAACAAATTGAAGTCCGATAAAAAAATGTTACATATATTTTTTTCATGTATTTTCCCGTATAATCGATTTCCGCAATCAGATTTCAAAAAAAATTATTTTTTGGTAATTTGTTTAAATAACTTTTTATAAACAATTGCAAATGGTAAAAGAAAAAACACGGGTATTATTTTTTATTTGCCTATGAATCGCATAGTTAGTTTGACGCTATCTCTTCCAGTTTTGGCCTGGGCCTTAATAGGTTATTGTTTCTAAATATCAGGCAGACTGTAAATAAACTTGGAGTGAATAAAAAATCTGTTTTGATTGTAGCTACGTTATTCACAAGAAAAATATCTCTGCATAATTTTACAACACACTATTTGATATTGTTTTAAATTAATGAGTTTAGATTTGACAGATTTCTAACTTCGCTGATTTAAATAAAAATTCATTACTCGTTTCTACCACATTTACTCAAAACATGGAGAATAGTACAAAGTTTAAGATCCTCGATTTAAAATTTTTTTTTTTAATTAACTTGTTTGGGAAGATCGACTTTAGAATTTCAATTCAAAGTCATTTTCAATGAGTTTTACAACAAGAAAGGATCGCATTTTAGTACTAAATATAAAGAGTGAGATAAAGAAGACCAATTATACAAGGTAAAAAGTAATGAGTCATTATTTATACAGGAGACCTAGTTTTAAATTAATTTATAACTAATTCTATTTTATATTTTTTTATATTATTTTTAGTTATTTACATACATGTGCGGACGTTTGCGAATTAAAAATAATTAATAATAAAATTTTGTAATAATTAAATAATTGTTATCTTACCCGAAACAATGTAGAACCGCCGGAAAGAACAATATTCTGGAATAAAACTTTTCTCAAATCCAAATCTGATTTCTGGATTGAGTACATTAAAACTTCATGTAATCCCTCAAACTCTTCTCCTAATAAATCTGGTCTAAATAATACTTCAGGAGCACGGAATCTTGCAGGACCAATCTACAGAAATTAAAATAGATTTAATATCATTAATGAAGTAGAAGTTATTTAAAAATTGATGGAAATAAATCAATTATAGCAAATTCTTCTCTCGGTTTGAAAAATATACACTGCATTGATAAAATAATAAGATTGAGAAACTTAAACTAGGGAGAATAAAATAATATTTACCCCTTAGTTATTCTTATGTTTTCTCAATAAATTTCCTTCTTGCGAGGCACACCATCGCTGTAATACGCAAAAAAGATGTTTTTCCTAGTGAATGCTTATCATTCAGCGTACACCTACAAATCACGAAATCGGTGGTCGATTAAGTGTACGTGTTTCAATATGGTTGAGAAATTAGAGTATATAGGTTGTAAACCAATTGAAACTAACGAATAATTAAGTAAATATCAGGTAGTACGTATATTACTATTATATAAAAATTTAACGTAGTGTTCAACCAAGCGATTTTCCGTACGTATGGTACCTAAGGTTACACGGGAGGGAGAGATTACGAACGAACTTACAATTTTCCATGAAGCCTTTCTACTTATTTTATCACTGATTACTCTGCAGCGAAATTCTTCATTAAACAATCTCCATTGCCCTATAAAAAATCAATATGGATCGGGAAGAATCACTCAATATCTATGTTGCATCATGACATCTTAGGCGAAATTTAAAAAAACGACTAATATTAGTTATATTTATGGACATTCTGAGACACTTACCATGCGAACAGCAGATTCTTTCCTCACCAGCAGTCAGTGACGTTACCCAATAGTACATTACGATACAAGTGCGGGAAAGTAAATTCTTGTCTCGTGTGGCTTTTACGCCTGAGCGAAGTGAGGGTGGAAACTCATTCCCGAACATGTGCCGTACCGTATTTTTTGATACGACGTGCGGAAAGTACGATTTTCAACGCACGTTTTTTACCGAGCGTGTGGTAAAAACGCACTTTCCGCACGGAGTGTCAAAAAATCCTTTACCGACACAAAGGAAAAGGGTGTTCTCTCTCTCTCTCTCTCTCTTGCGTAAAGAAGATATTTTGGTTCTCTCTCTTCGTGGAAGGCAGCTATACTTGCTTAATTCCCCATCAGTTCTTGTCAAACAATATGCTATTCTAATCATTTTTGAAAGTTAGAGAGAGAGAGATACGAGCTCAGTCGCTCGACTGATTTCTTCTTAAGATGTTCCTTCTAAATATCTCTGCTAGAAGAGAACCTTCTATCCCTTCTATTTGCCCTAATCATTCTTGCAATCGTAATTCAATTAATCAAATAATTACGCATATAAATTAATTACTTGCTTATATTTATTAGTTTTAATTATACATTGAGTACACTTTATCAATAATTTTAGGTACAGTATTTGTCTTATCAATTTTAAACTATTCAGTTGAATTTTTTACAAATTATAATCGACTGTAAACTTTAGACAGTATCGAACCCTTCTGATTCTATTTTTTTTTGCCTTTCCGCCAACTAATCGTATGTCTTTTATGTATTTATTGCAGCAGAGACTATATTTTCTCACTTTTGACTATGATATAAGCATGATGATTTAAATTTAAGACATATGTTTTCCAATTGTTTTTTAATTACGAGCATGTCATTTCAGTTTTAAGTAAAAAATTTGTATGTTATTATACCATTTCTCCATGATATTCCTATAAAACTCCATTTATTAAATATAAATATTTATATACGTATAACTGAATAAATAAACTACCATGATGTATTTCCAGCTATCATTTAACATTTTATATTCGATAGGAAGCTCACACCAATGATACGGAGGTTTGAAGAATAGTACTGCAGGATAAGTGTCAGAACATACTGGTAAATAAGCGAACTCTTTACAAATAAAAATATTTTCAGGACCCTGAAAGCCTTGTACATCAAAAATATAGTTCTTTCTTAGAGTATAAATCCTATTGTTTTCCAAAATATGTGAGCTTTATCGTATCTTAAAGAAATTATGGATATTTTCTTGATTTACCGATTTATACCGAGTGACCCATTTTAAAGCGAGGTATAGTTTACCCAGCCAATTAAGGAAAGGTGTGAATGCCCAGCCAATGAAGACATGACGATAACTACAGATATAGTTATGATCAAGGTTGTAACACAAACATTTATCTCATAAAATGTTCAAAAATACAGCCGTTCAAATTTATGCAGTGTTGAATCATACATTTGAAGTTTTCAACTCTGGACAACAAAACGTGACGCGGAATAGCTCTACAAGCTTGTATGATGCGATGCATCATATCTTGCCGTATTGTTGGTTGCTGTGCATAAACAACACTTTTCAAACAGCCCCATAAAAAGAAATCTGGACTTGTTAGATCTGGTGATCTTGGACACAAGTCAGTAATGTCACTACCAATGCCTATCTATTGTCTTCGGTATCATTGGTTCAAGAAGTGACGAGCTATTAGTAAGCGATGACACGGTGCACCATCCTGTTGAAGCCATAATCGCCGTCTTGTTTCCAAGTCCACATCTTCCAATAATTCTGATAATTCATTCTGCAGGAAATAAAGATATGCGGCGCCGTTGACATTCCCATCGAAAAAATAATGTCCTATCAGATAACCATTTACTACACCGCACCAAACTACGAGGCTCCATCTATGCTGATTATCAACATGACGTACCCAATGAGGGTTGTGGATAGACCAATAATGATAGTTATAGCGATTCAGTTGCCCATTACTATGAAATGTAGTTTCGTCCGAAAATATTAGGTATCTGAAAAATTCAGAATCTTCACGAATCCTTGCTTGTACCCAATTACAGAATTCGAGTCTGCGGCGGAGATCACCTGGCATCAATGATTGAGTCAAATTTCTTTGATACGGATGAAATCTATGAAACTGCAAAAATCTAGCGGCTGTTGTTCTCGGGATTCCAGTACGTCTCTGAATTTCACGCAAAGAGATATGATGATCCAAATCAACCATTGCCAAAACAACGAGAATTCGTGGATCATCGTTGTTCTGTCTCATAATGCGACGACGATTTCTGCGTATTCGTGGTCGACGTCTCTCTCTTCGTTCGATGATTCTGATTCTTACGTGGTTTGGGTACCCAAGCCTCCCTGGGTAATTTTGACGGTCAAGGCCGATATTGTGCTGCAGCAAGATAGTACCGTCCAGTTATTGGATTGGGGGGCAAGATATTACCAGCAAGTTATAGGGTTATTACAATTAATCTTAACCTTGCCCCATCATCCATGTGCATAGATGAAGAAAATAATAAATTTGACCCCTACATGACCTTACGCGGGGGGGGGGGGGGGTTAACCGCACCCCACACATAATACCTTATCTAAACATAATTTTTCTCGCTCTTTCCGAATCCGGGATCAAAATTATAGGTTCAAAAAATGACTTTGACCTTCAAATAACTTTGAAAATAAATCTCAAGGTTATTGTCCCAAACAACTTTTTTCTGAACAATTTTTTTGTAGAGTGCCAACCGTAAAAAATTCGAGGTTTAAAAAAATGACAACGAATGTTTTAAGTTAGCTGTATTATCGTGCTTTTATCCAGTCAAGCAAAATAGTAATAAAGTAAATAATAACTTTTGTAATGTTGGAAAGAAGGGAAATAGTGAGAGATGGAAATTCACTTAATTTTGATTATATTCAGCAACGTTTCGTCAGCACATTTGCTGACCTTTTCAAGCTTTATTAATAGAAAAACAACAAATTATTAACAATAGAGTTGCAAAAGTAATTTTAATGGTATATAATTATATGTGTACGTGTATACCTGATTTCTCTCTTACTCAAATTATTATAGGCTAAAACGAATATCTCGTAGCACAGTCAAGTTAATAAAATGAGAGATCAAGTATTTCAACCCATATATATACTCTGCATCCATTATCCCTTCCTCATAGATCTTAATAAAGGCTTATAAATGTGACTAAGATATTGTATATCATCTTTTCTATCTAACGTGTTTTTATGTAAGCCAATGTGTAACATTTCAGATATTCTGCGTTTCTTATAATTCTTTTCATAATCCAATATCTTAGCTTTCCATCATTACAAAATTTATCACTTAAAAAATTATAAGGCAATCAAGACAGTATGTTACATTTAATAAAGTAAATACTTATATAAGCGTTATGACAAATAATTCAAATTTGACGGTATAAGCTCCCCTGTAATAATGAAAAGCATTTCTAAAAAATTAAGCATATAATAAAATTAAATTAAATTAAATTAATTAATTTAATTAATTAAAATTTTTATTTAAAAATAAAAACTTAAGCATTCCTAATAAATTTGAAAAATTAAATAATATATTGCAACGGTAGTCGATTCAATTAATCGAACCGTTCGCGATTCTGATTTTCGCGCGTTAGTTCTAAGTATTGAGAGAGAGGGGGCGCGCGATCTTTTAAATTAGCAGTTACGTCTCAGCTGTTGATTGAAGTGGATATCGCCGAATTTTGTTTTCACAGTTTTTCTCGCCGAATAATCATTTTATACTGATTAATTACGCGCGCGAGTGCATCAAGGTGATAAACAGATTGCGGCGTTATGAAAGCAGCAGATTTGCAGCAGAAAGGCGGTACGAGGCAGCGCAGTTGATAAATCAGGAGCAGAGACAGTTGATCGTTTTTTTTAACATCAACAATTACGGCTGATCACCGTAATTGCACCGCAGGGTAGGTGCACCTGCCTTAATTATCGCGTGACAAAATACATTTAGTATTTTGTTCAACCGTATTAGCGTTGATATTTTTTGTATTTGCGCCGAACGTTAGATCGCGCCAATTTTCATATCTTCTCTCTCTCTCTTTCTCACCGAAAGTTATTTAATTGTAAATCCTATTCGCGTGCGTCAGTCTTTCGGCCCGACAAAGACTGTAGAGATTTTTATTAATAAAATCTATTAAAATTATTCGCCGATTTCGTCATATGATTTTTCCTAGTAGTTTAAACAATTAGAAAAAGCTTAGGTTTTAATCCTATTATAGCTAGGGGATTAA